TATTCTGCCGGCCACCACGACCTTTTCACGTCTACCTGCGTGCCTCGCGTATTTTTAGGCGTGACACGCTTTCTTTGTGCCGGTCCGGGGCCTACTGCCGTAAGAAGAGGCTCCGTTCGGAAAATCCTCGCGTGCATCGAACAACACCGATGACTTGTCCGCCCGTGTGACCGCGGCACCGCTAACTTCATTTCTTTTGTTTCATCTTCAACAGGAAAATCCGTATTTTGCTCGATGCCGGATTCTCGTAAACATGAGTAACGCTGCGACCCTGAAAACAGTGATCAAAGGCGTGAAAAAAAGATGAATATATTGCCCCAAGCATTTATCCTATGTATTTCGGAGAGTATTGTAAAGATACAGTGAAGGGGAACGTATAAGTTGTCATATAACGTAACGATCACAGAAGGATGCTCATTCGATGACACACGCTCGTTTCTAGGAACTGGAGTAACTTGATTTAGCCTCTCCTAGGCTTTGTCTGTATACGGAGAACGGAGACATAGCCTAGAATAGGTTAGGTCAGGGCTCGTTCGACGCGATCCTCTCTTCGTGCTGCTTCGTGTGTCGAGGACACGCCCAAGGTCAAGCTGAAGGTCAATAATCGGTGAGAACAAACTGACGGAGAAGTAGTTCCAGGTGTCCACGGTCTCTTCACACGTCTCCGTTTACATTACCCTCATCCGCGGTGATTTCGATTTGCCGACCACACCTAATGTTATTCAATCATCGTTGTGCAAATTATTTATTAACGTGACAATTAACAGAAACAATTGCGTAATTTGTTTATACCTGGTAACAGTTCACCGTGACAGATCCGATGAATTATGGTACAATTCGGTGGAGAACATTTCGAAATGATCGTTGTTTCATGACTGTTGATAATTGACGAGACATCTGATAGTTCTCTCCATAGATCACGATCGGTAAGGTGGAGGATTGTTCCGTTCTTTTTTTACCGACGCGACGGTTCTTCTTTATCTACCGGAAAAATGGCACCAAACCAATTTCGCATTTCGCGCCAAAAGTTTTAACGATTAGTTTCAAGATCAATTTTTCGTGTCAAAGAATATATTTTTGCGTTTGAAAGGTGAGAAATTACAGAAATTAATTTAAAATTCAATATCGGGCAAACACGGTAGAATCAAGTTGATTGGATTTATTATAATCGTACAATATTCGGTTCAGCTCAAGCTGTCATGCACTCACGAAGTGTTGTCGAAATGTTTCTGTTTCCAGTAGAACGTAATAGAATGTTTAGCGTTAAATTCTTGACGTTTTCGCTAGTGTTAATGTTGTAAATAAGAAATATATCTGGAGTAACGGTGTCTAATCAAGGAAAGAACTTAAAATGCCATATTATATTCACCACGCCGTGATGTAGCTCTGAAGTACAACATATTCCAAGGTATTATACAACACCAAAGATGTATTTTTATAAATATACTTTTGACAACATAAAAAAATTAACATATAGAAAGATATTATTGACTTACGCTATTTAAATCGACGATTTTCTCAGCCTTTTAATTATTCAATAGAATAAAAGAACAAATGTGTATACATACATATATTACTGGAAAATACTTACATAGAGAATATCGTCTATATAGGAGTCGTTCAATTCGATTCTCGAATTGCAATTACTGACATCGATATAACCGATACGATTTGTTAAATAAAATATTTTTTAATTGATTTTAAACGACTTGTTTACAAGTCGGTATTATAAGACAGTTAAATGCTTTTAAAATGTATAATTATTTGAAAAATCGAACTCAATTGATATAACTACGCAGTTCGAATAATTTGCTATGCATTGCTATAAAATTTCAACTATTTTATATGCATATATTGCTGTAATATAAATTGACAAATTCATCTCTAGTAATTGTACAAATTACCGAATTCACTGTATCCATTTTTTGATTACGTCTCTCGAAAAAAAATTACTCGGAATAGTCATTACTATACTTGAACATCATAGAAATTACACAGATGATGTGTTGATATGCAATCTAATTAGTCTTCAAATGTAACTGAATATAATAAAATTTATAGATTTATTTACTTTTAACCACTAATATAATATTGTATTAAACCATTCTACAAAGATAGAATGTGCCCATATGTAACTAAAGAAAAGAAGGAGGACTATATCTGTGAAATAAAAAGGAAATATGTTTTAATAAAATCAAACATCTAAGAGAAAATCTGTTTCTATCATACGATCAATATCTTCTATTAACTGGTGTGAATGTTTCCAATATTCATGTACAATATTCTTATTAATTTGTAACCCAATTATGTAACCCAAAATACTGGAACAATGGATATCATTTGTTAATGATTATATAAACTGTCTTTTTTTTTAAGTACTGGTTGCATAATTTGTTGAATAGTATTGCTCTGTACGCCTACAATTTTCAAATCCCAAAAATAGATTGATTATAAGTATGTGAATAAATTATGCAAGGTAGAAATATTAAACTCTTTTAACCGACATTCCTTCCATTGATTACTAACCGTAATGCATCCAAAAATATTGTATACATTAATATTACTGCAATTTGGCAGGATATGTTACCTCCTTCTTCATAAGTGGAAAGGGAAAATTGAGAGCAGAGACTACAATTATTTGCTTCACAGTGGGACCAAGTGCCAAAAAATATTCATATCTCATAAAACATATTCAGCAGAATGTGCAACCAGAATTAAATCCCCAAGGAACCAGTAACTTGGATTGCCTTCTTCCTCTCTATCACCAAACTATATATACCTCCCTTCCCGTAAATAATTAAACATTAAAGATTCAAGTATTAGGAAACAGTCTCTAGAAAATAAATACAAAGTGATTATCAACTGATCTCTATCTTCAGTCTGCATAGAATGCACGGCTTAAAATAATTAAAAAAACAATTATTTTCAGTAGTGCAAAATTAGTGATTTGAGCCATTAGGTAAAATCAGTTCTTAATAAAACAAATACACAAGCGATGTTTATACTTAAAAATACATTATTGCACTGATTGATGATTGATCAGCTTAATGTGAGTATTTGCTGCTTCATTAAAAAATTTGTTACCAGCTGCAATCACAAAGGTCTGATCAGCTGATAATCAATTCATGTGTAATGAAAGTATCCGCTGTGAATCGCTCTGAGCTCGCTAGAAGAAATTTTTAAAACGTAATTCTTAAAGACAACACCTTTACAGCCTTCCTTCACGCATACACACACACCCGCGCGCGCGCGCGCACCGCTATTTTATCAATTTGGGACTTCATCTTTTTTTTATGATTGCTGATACATACTTCTAAATATGTCTAGTCGAATAGTCTAATTAAAGCCTACGAATCTAGAGTGCTCGCTCATAAGTGATATGTTGAGTAAAGTGTATTACCTACGGGTAACAATGAATTTAATGCTGTAGCAACAATTTAATAATGTGGAACTGCTTGTGCCGGCGGTTCTCGTTTAAACAAAAATGCTTGATTAACACACTGATAGCCAGTCCCAATGTCATTAAAAATTCTTATAAAGCGGACAATCTTTTTCCTCTTGTAACTCGCGAATCTTAATGAGATTAATTTTGTTTGGTATCCGGAATTGAGGATTGACGACACAACATTTACATCTTCAATGTTTGATATGGCGATTGAAGTATTAATCTTCTTCCATTATTTTTACTCTCTTCTTCCCACTATCTAATAGAAATATCAATAGAAAAAAGAGTCATTGTGATTGTGCTCAAACTAAGAGTCTATAAGTGGTCCCGATTCCAAGTAAAGCTTAAATAAATATTCAGCTTTGATGGAGATTAAAATCTGGATAACTCACGTCTATCGCGTCGAAGAATCTTTCTACTTCAGAAAATTGAATTTAAACGAATTTAAAAAATTCAAAGTATCATGTGCATCTTCGGACAGGTAGAAAGATTCTTGTTATAAAATACGTTTTCAAAACGAACCATTTTGTTACACACGGAAGGAAGAAAATCCTTCGAGCTGTTAATGTAGCACAGACACCGGAGAAATATAGCACAGAATCATTTATATTTAATAAAATCATGCAAGTGCTGTACCTTTCAGTGTCTACATTGGAGAAGAACCTTCATATTCATATCAAATAATTGTCTTTCCAAATTTTAACGCCAGCACAGGCTCGTTTCACTGTCGAGTTCGTGAATACAGCTTGTAGAAGTAGGAACGAGCAACGTTTTCAAGTTCCTGGAACGACCACGTTATTTATCAATGAATCACAAGAAAAAAAAATGGAACTATTGAATACGAAATATTGTGCGGCCAACGGAGCACTTTCGACTCGTTTCTACTTCTTTCGAACGATAATCGGTCCGCAACATTAACAGTTTTTTTATCCTCGATAAATTAGACGCCAACAATTTGATATGACAAAATTCACTAACCATGATGGGACGTTAATTTTTGTATCTGATTAAGTTTGCCAACAGCAGTTTGTTGTCTGTTCTTTTTTTCTTCTTCTCTTTTAATACCCCGCTAATAAACTCGCTTATACACTTAATTAATATATCTTGAGTTTCAGTAAGAATTAGATACCTCGATAATCACTTCGTAAAAGTTACTTTACGCTCTTATTGCCTATGAATAGTTGTCCATTCTGAGGAACCAGTATTTTTATTTAACTTTGGCTCGTCGTCCCAAGACGACATTAAAATTCTAGCAAAATTTTTCTCATAAATGTAATAGCGACATTTGCAATAATAGCTGCCGCCATCTTGTAGAAAATAATATTCTACATCGTCTGCAAGTATCAGAAAATTCGACGCGTTCTTTTCATTTTTTGTCAAAGTTCGTCGCGAATAATAAAAAGCTTAATGACGATTAAAAGTTGACTAGACGCGATAATCTCTTGGAATTATACTAAAATGAAGCGCAAGCTTCTATTTCCTCGATTTCTTTTTTAAGTCTTCTGTTGAAAATTTAGGATTCGCACGGCAGCTCTTTCTTCTTTACACGGATAATATACCTCTCTTGATTAGCTGAATCTAATTTCTAAAGTTCCTGCAAGCTATTTAAAATCGATAAAAAGCAAAATTATTTGAATGCCTCGATTACTTTCCTCACGGTAAGAAAAACAGTTCGCCATCGTTCTTCGCGTGTCTAGTCTCTTAGGATATACATTCTGAATCTTGTTCAAATAGTAAAAGCGTTTGCAGCAATACTTGTAAATATAAAATTTCTATGATACTGTCCTTGGCAAACTTGTTCAAACGAACCGCTTGAAACGTAGTAACTCTGGAATCATGCACAGTTTCTCTAGTCTAACAACGAACGGAAAAAACATCTATACTTTATGAATAACATTCCACAGTTCATCTATTCCGGATATCCCAAAAATGCATCCTCAGTAAGCAACGTTCTCATGATATATCGGTCTTCCCCTCTTTATGTCTCGACGTATCATTTGTGGATGATTTCCAGCCTCTTAACATCCATTACAATTGACACGTTTCACGGTTATCGCCCTATCAAAATAGTTTTACAAACATCTATGCACACTCTGCGACTGGGGTCTTGAGGGACACCAGACGCGTAATTGCATTGAGTCAGATGGAGCAAAATCATGGAGTACAAGTCTTACATGAAATTTCAGTAATGTGACTCGACGTTCCCCTTCTTTCCTAAGTTATTTCTTTTTTTTGTTTCTTTCTTTTCTTTGCTACGACAATGATCTTCGTTGGCGCTTAAAACACTTGTATTAAAATTCTTGTAGAAAGTCCACGTTTCCTAGCGTACAAGACGATTATTCCTTGATGTCTGTGCGCTTTGGATACTGAAACCTCTTCGTAGACCGCGATTCACCCGTTTACTAGTTTTAGGATATGTCACTTTGTACGAAGTTACACTTCCAAGTTTAAAAAAAAAAGAAAAACAAAGAGAAGAAAAAAGTAATTTTAGTTTTCGGGAGACGCAGCAAATCGAAAAATTTGCACTTGTCCGGAACACTTCACTTACGATTTTCGATCAGACCATTCTATAGAAATCGATTTTTCGATGACCTCAAGGTGCGATCTTGACCGAATTTCTTGTCGTGAATGTGTGATCGTGTAAAAACGTCAGCGCAGTTCAGAAATGATGCATTAAAATATACATTAAAAACGTCTTTTCTCTGTTTTCATACAGTGTATCCTTCCTCGTGTTCCTTTTTTTTTGTTCTTTTCACTTACTCGTAAGATCCTTATAAGAAAACTGTATGAGTGTGAGGCAATTTAAACGTTGTGAGACTAGCTATTAACAACGGCAATGCAGTCAACAGTGCAGGCGCGATTAAGGGTGCGCCGACTAAAGTTTTGTAAGTTGTGGTTCCTATCAAACCAGATATTCTTATAACAGCCGCTATCAGGCCAAAACCAGTACATCTGTGAAATATTAATAAACTCTGCCATTATTATTTTACGGTCATTCATATATCAATCGATATATTTTATCGTTATGATCTCTTAATAAAGTAGTACTTGAAGAATCACTTGCCTCAAATGGGTAGGGAAGCTCTCAACTGTGACCAATGTAAGTGACGTCCAAGCGATAGCAAAAACTGCTATGAAACCCCCTTCGAAACCAAGGACTGCCGAACTGTTTGTACCCACTAGAATTAGACATAAGGCTGCTACCGAAGAAAAAAATAATGAAATACCAATCATTTTTGGCCGCTGAAGTACAGTAAGTGCTAATCCTGCCAAAGCAGCAGCAGGCACGAAGGCCAATTGAGCAACGAGATGACCATGGAGTGCTTCCTCTATATAAATATTATAATCCAAATCGAGAGTCGGGCAGGGTCCACTTAAACTTAATTCCGTATTATTTTGCAGTGTACAATTCGAAAAGACTTGCCGAGATAAATCAGTATCCACAAACCTATAAAGCACAGATCCCATGTATTTTCTATACTTAATACCCAAGTAAATTATCACACATTTTTCATGGATGATACGTACTTTGAGTGTACAATCGTACTATTCGTAAAGTGGGTTTTACTGGACTTTATACTACTAAATTCTACAGTATGGAAAGTACAATTGTCAAAATCTACATGGCTGAATACCATCTTAGTAAATCTGAAATAAAATAGTATGCACGTAAACTGCTTCAGAATAATGTTTAAGGGTTTCTTGGATATATACTTACTTGCAATTAAAAAAGTTCGAATTTCTGTACTGACAATTCTCGAAGGAACCTGTGAATGTCTCGTTTCTATATTCTCTCTCGGAAATGAGCTCCGTATGATTTTTATATTCCGTTGCACGTATAAGTTTAAGGTACTCAGGACACCATACCATAAGGCCGTATAGCCTGTAGAAAATACAAAGCTTACAATAAAAAGAAATGAGAATATATAACAGAATTATTTACTCTAATTACATACCCAAATGATACAGTTGACCATATAATTATAAGCACTATCGATACGCGTAAATGCGGCGATACAAATAGTTCCAGAAAAGAATTCCAAAACTGAAAATTCAATAGATGTTGAATATTAATTCCGCAAGTAAAAATATATGGTAAACCCTTACCATTTCAATAGAATAAATTATATCAGCCATTACGCTAGTGTGGTTAGTAGGAGATGGAGGTGCCAAACCACGAGGCCTTTTAGTTGGAAGCTCCAATTCAGAAAGCTGATATTGTGCACCTGTTGCACCCTTTCGTGCATTATTCTTTTTATATATTTTCTACGGAAATGCGCGAAACATCAGTGTAAAGTACAGATATCTTAAATAAAAATACAAATAAAAGAAATACCTGGTAAACCATCATAGCCTCCACATCTCTGCCTGCCTCTACCAAATACCTTGGACTTTCTGGTATAAAAATAAGTCCAATGGTAGAGCACAATGCAGGTAAACAACAAAGTAGAAGAAACCGGTGCCATGCACTGAAGTGCTCTTTATTTTCAAGAACCACCATTTCTCCAGTTGTGGGAACAACTACCCATGCTATAAGAGCAGCATATACACCTCCTAATGCTCCTGCTGCTACAAGTAAACCTACCCATCGACCTCTGCTTAGTCTTGGGCAACATTCTGCTAGATATGCAAATGCTAATGGTAAAGATCCTCCTACTCTGTGATTGGATAAATTATACATTATACTGTATACGTAACTGTGCAATGTACAAATAAAGAAAAGAATATCTTACCCTATTGCAGAACAAAATCTAGCCATCATAAATGTGCCGTAAGTTGGCATAAAAGTAGCAACACCACTAAATAAAGCATGTACAGACATGGCAGATAACAATGATCTACGTCTCCCAAGTCTATCCCCTAGACCACCCCAGAATATTCCACCTACCGCTAGACCCATCAGTGTAATATTGCCTATAACAGAACAGTATGAAAACAACTTTCACTGAAACTAATACAACAAATTATATCATAGCCAACTAACTAAGCCATCCTTTCTCATTATCCTCGATGCATAATTCAACCTCTGCACTTGGTAAAATATACGGTACAACAAAAAACTCAACAGTGTCTGCCGCAAGACTCAAGCCGGTGCACAGAGCAGCCAATACTTGAAAGTAACCAACACCAGCCTGAAACATAAAAATTAGAAACATTATATTAATTGTATGAATAATACAAAATTTCAATTTAAAAATCGACTTCATAGATGACATTTAATTGTATCTATTCCATTTCGTATACTCCATAATATTTTAATCGAAGTAACCAGTTTACATCAGTGAAACAAAAAATTCAGATATTCGCAGATTGTAAAATTATCGATTTAACCTCAAAACAAATTGACAAGTGACAGGTATTTACTGGAAAATCATTGAGGTATCCTGGTATTTCTCGCGACTGATATTTCCTTTTTACGATCGATTCGTCCAAGACCTCGTCCATACTGGAGCACTAGGGGACTAACGCGATGGCAGTGAAAAATATGATTAAAACCCTACACAAAACACCTTATCTAAAAAGGACGCCATTTAACATAGGTTATGTTTTTGTTGTAGAATTCTGGGAGGTGCAGTATTTTATTTCGCAATGACCGCAGTAGCCACTGTAAATACAGATTTTAAATTTGCATAAGCTCATTGGTTGCAACCATCTCTTCGCGCTTCGGAGGAAACGATCAAAGGTTACCGATCGATATCCAGTTCGATAGACGAACTTCGAGAATCGCAACAGGTTCGATAAAAAATTCAAATTTTAGTGTAGAAAAGGACACGGGAAGGAACGATCGTCGTTTGAAGTGCTCCTCCAGTTTCGTGACTTTTAATTCGGTTTTATACAATTAAAGTGATTAAAATCTGCTCTTGTTCATAATACTCGAGTTAAAGAACCGAGAAAAATAATAGTAAACAGTTAAATCAACCAAAATATATGAAAAAACTCGTATTAATTCTACACGATAATAAACGGCAACCAACTTTGAAACGACTAAACTTTTCAATCAAGTAATTAATTAACAAGTGAACTATTTGCCAACAAAAACTTTATCCGAGAACAGAAAACTGATAATCCCATGAAAATCAATAATGACGATCAACACGATATCTGTAAAAGTATCTAACATTATATATGCCGGTTCCTTATTGTACCACTTACGGTATCCATTTTGCAACGGTCAAAATTCAAATATGGCCTAATATCGTAAGATGAACTTTTCGGTGACAATTGAATATAAGCGAAAATTAATGGAATAATGGAAAATAGAAATAAACAACGGACCTGTTTAATAGCGTCTTCGTGAAATTGTGCTAAAAGTGTTGCGTCTGCCGTGGAATCGATGAGATCGTGTTCGGCGGAATCGGCGGAAGCCGTGTTCACGCCTGCAGTGTTCGCGTTTGTCGGTTGTGTCGTCATTTCCTCGGTGTATAGTCCTCCTCTAATTGTGACAGTGCGTTCTCCAGTTCCGGATACTGTGCCACCGCCGGAAGATGCGGGACCACCCCCGCTGCCAACGAGCCACTGACTTTCCTCCTCTGACGAGGGCATCACTGCCACAAATCATCTGCAACATCATTAGAATCCGTTACAATCTGCCCACTGCCTACCAGGTACTTAAAATTTATTTCCTATCTTGATCCTTTATGTCCTGAAAATATTTTAATATTATTTTCTTTAAAAAACAACTGCAAATCGAATATTTTTTACATTTATTCATACTTAGTAAACAATACGCATTACGCGATTCAGGATATAAAGAATTGATTTGAATTCGCTCGAGTTTATTTTATTTCATTTTATTTCATTTTATTTCATTTTATTTCATTATTGGGAGGGAGGAACGCATGAAATGTGAATTTGCACTTCGGGCAATCAAATGCGCGGCAAATACATAAACAATCTACTTGCTTCAAAGTAAGATTAATGAACGAGGTGCAAAGAAACGTCGGGTTTTTTTGACTATTATACAGGCTCGGTTAACTTTGATCATTAGTACGGTCGGAGAGCTTTGAGAGATTCTCAAGTGAAGTTCGTTAAGAACCAAGAGGGCCGTAGAACCAGACAAGTGGACAGTGAAATGAAAACCACTGTGTGAAAAAGCAATTAACCAACGCGGAAAAAAAAGTATATTCAAAAAGAGAGCATCGGTTTCTCCGAAATTACGTGCAGCTGATTAACTTCGATCATTGGTACGGTCAGGGAATCTCGAGAGACTCTCAAGTAAAATTCAAAGCAAACTATACTGTAAGTACGTAATAAAATGACAACCACTGGACGCAATCGACTGAGAAGTAAAAGGGTTTGAAATGAATGTTGAAAGGAACTATTTATCAATATTTTAAATACCCTTTAACCTTAACAAACTAGCCATGATCTAACGAGCCAATTTAAAAAAAATATGGCGCGTTTATCGTGCCATCTACGTCAACAGGCGACGTCATCGCGGATTGCAGCGAGGGACGCGCAGTTTTCGTAGGCACTTGTTATTGGTTATAACCTATAAAATGTGTCACATATCGGGTGCACACAGGACTCGATCACAGGCAAACATACACACATACACATACACGCAAGCATAAAATGTGCGCTGGGGCGCGCGCGTTCACGTGTGCTAGCAGCAAACTAATTTATCGATTCGCGTTCACTCGCATACAATCAACCGCGAACGCCCACGAGTGCACGCTCACAGGGCCCCGATTCTTTATTTAAATATACACCACCACACGTGTCAACCTTGATGGCATTGTTAACTATAACAAGGGGCTACGTTTCCGCGAACCTTTATCGCCTGTCCCGACATTTTCACTCTGCGTCGGCATCCGTCACCCCTATCCATCAGAAACATAATACCCGTAACCCACGTGTCAACTTTTCACACCCGTTAGTCATCCGAACGAACATTAACGAAAAGAAAAAAATAACAATAACAGCAGATGATCACCTACATCTTGTCAACCTCGGTGCATTTATTTTTAGTTAATACCGAGACTCGGGACAGCTAACATATCCGTTATGAATACAGCCAAACACGGCCTAAATGATTCGTGCCGCTCGGCCTATAAGCCTCTGCGCCTCGAGCGGCAACAATCTATCGAAACTAACTACCTTCGTCCGACCGTAATTTCGCGAAGCAATAAACTACAATGCGGTGCAAGAAAATGAATATTGCAACCCATCACTGACTAAACGAATCATTACGTCAGAGGAATAATTAACGATTCTTCGAAAACCACGGCACGACTACAGAAACGTGCGGAGATTAGATATTCGAGAAAGATAAATATTTGTCAAGCCTCGGTGCATCGTTACCGCGCGTATCACCGACGGAGCAGTCAAAACGAAGGAAACAATGGAACCACTTCACGGAAACTTCCTAAAGAAACCTGAAGTACCTACATATATATTTTCC